ACACATATTCCTTCATTCTTTTTCACTCAATCGTTTTTACGTTGAAAATATATTCATTCTAATATTTTGTTTTTCTTTTCACAATATTTACAGACATTCCAGATCCCTTACTAACCTCACCTAACCTAACCTGACCTGACCTAAGTTAATCCATTGTACTTAAGGATATGTCTCTCTCTCTCTCTCTCTCTCTCTCGACGTAATACCACGACAGAAAACCTCCCTCCGTGCTAATGTTCCACGCTATAAACGCTCTCATTACCCATTGGGACATCACTCATTACCCCAATCCATTAAAACCAGGTGAGGCAGGTGGTGGCAAGCGGCCCCATGACAACTAGTAGTCCCATCATAAACAGACACTACACGATACACACACACACACACACACACACACACACACACACACACACACACACACACACTCACACTGTATGTCCAACAAGTCACAAATACTGTGTGTGTGTGTGTGTGTGTGTGTGTGTGTGTGTGTGCGTGCGTGTGAACCTAAAAATCAGTGTCATTGCAAATTTGAACCCTGAAACTGTCCCCAAAAATATTCATACAAATCTAATCTCGTGCTAATTTGGGCCCCTAAACCCCGACTAACCCTCTCTAAATCCCCCCTAACACCCCCCCCCTAACCACCAACCTCCCTAAACATCCCCTAACCCCCATAACCCCTGATACATTTCAAAGTTTTAAACACAATTCGAAAAAGTTAACAAAATCAATATGGACAATACTACGCCTGTCAGTGTTAAATGGAGATGAATGGAAAAAAAACAAATTACACTATTTTTCCGTCACAACAAAACATACTGCTTTAGACTGTAATTATCTGTCCATTCCTGTCTGCTGCTGCTGCTGCTTCTGTATTCAAGGCTGTAATTTAAAAAGAAAAATCCCGAAGCAAAATAAGAACACGTAAAAAAAATTTATCATGTTATCCGGTCATTATACTTTATTTCCGTCCTGCTGCAAAAATTTTCTGTCAGCTGGTTGTGTGTCTACATTAATCTGACTGTTTGGTAGTTTGCAACAGTTATAATGAAGAATACTTAGAGAGTTAATAACCATTGTTGAAAATCTGACATTGTGAGTTCAACTAATTTAGCATAATTGTGACACGAAGTTAATTTATATATGGATAAAAAACATATTTGCTTTTTAATAATTGGTTTTTTTTATTGAACAACATCTTAAAAACATTACATAATGCCTTAAATTAGTCTCACATGGAGAGAAGGGATCCCAGTTGGTTGAACAGCGTTGTTTCAGCGTTGAGTCGACGTTGAAACGGCGTTGAATGACCCTTGGGATCACTAATGCATTCCTCAATAAAAGATGATGATAATTCCACTTTTTCTTTACTTTATTAATGTAAATTACGATAGATAGGTTTTACATCATTATTAAACCAGCATTTGATGTTTCTACTGGCAAACTTCTATTGCTGAATATGTTCATAATAAAATATAACTAATATATGTACAACACTACGTAATCAGCAAGTAGAATGATTCCTCTTCCCATTTTCTGAAGAGTGACTCGTATTCTCGTTTTCTTTCAGTAGGAGGAGACAAGTAGTTAATGGGCTTTCTATAATAACTACTATGGAAGATATACTATAGAAAACTGGTTTATGAATGTAGTTCTCTGCATTATTAGGATTGACAAACTACTTAAAAATTTTTACTGAAAAAAATAGGTTTAGGTGAGTGTTTATCGTTCTAACTTAACAAATCCTCTTAAGTTTGGTTTGGGTTAAGTTAAAACATCAATCACTTTTAGCGTTTCAGTCTTACATTGGTTTTCCTCATTCACTTTTACAATGGTTCAGTCAGTTCTTACTACATAACAACTGGTGTAAAAAAAATGTATATACAGTATTATATTTTTTTTACCAATAGTCTCCTCATAAATATTATAATTATACAAAAACTTACATCCAACACCTGTCAATCACGAGACAAAGTTACTTTACTAATCTTCTGTAGTGTTCATATGATAACTGTACTAAATATCATGTTCCTAAAAGGGGTAATCTTTCGTACAGTAGCAATATTGAAGTAATATATATGTGTGTGCTTTAAAGGCCTAAGCAGTTTCTGGGGGCGCCTTGATAATCCTTAGCACTAGTGATGATCTGTTGTCTAATATATACAGGGTGTCTAATTAAGAATCATACATACTAAGACCAAAATAAGGGTGAATTTGTATGATTCATTTTTTTACACCATGTTAATTATAAGAAAATAATGAAAAGATTATTTAGTGTAATACATACTCCAAAAAAGTATCTGTACGATTTTGTGTGAGACAACATGACACAACGGACGAAGGTTTTTGACAACCCTACCGAGACAACAGGAGTCACAGTGTTCATTTTGAAATTTATCGTACCTCTCCGTACAGATACACATTGGAGTCTGAATGTACGTATTTCTGAAAGGATTAATACTTAGTTTTTTAATCTAGAAATAACTTACTAGACTAAAACCATACAAGTGTTTTAGTTTTATCTAATATTCAAAATTATACACTAGATATTTTTTTACTTAATCTTGATGTGTATTCTTGGGTAGATATCTCCATCTATGTTCTCTTAACTACAGACAAAATACTGGAGATGTTATTGTTTAATTTCATGATTCAAAATATTACCTAAGAATTAATATCAACACATCCACCGATATTGAGGGGTACATTCAGGGGTTCAGAGGTAGTATGAGGCTGTTTTTGAACCTGTGTGTGTGTGTGTGTGTGTGTGTGTGTGTGTGTGTGTGTGTGTGTGTGTGTGTGTGTGTGTGTACCCCCCAAACAAAGTAGCATGGCGATGATAAACCTTTGAATGTCCCAAAATCACACACACACACACACACACACACACACACACACACACTAAAAACCATATCGTACCATCTCTAAATCCAATGATATGACCTCTTAAACTACTTACTACCACACACATTACCAACAACCATTCCTGGATTCCATTTTCAGTGATATATCGTATTTCAATCAGCTTACATAATACGGTGGGTTAGGGATTTTTTTCTTATTATTTTTCCTTTGATTCTAAACAAAAATTATCTTCACAGTGTTTTCTTTAGTTTACCATCGACCGTTTTCTCGTATTACCTTACTCAGGGTTTCAGAATGATGGTGACTTATGGATTAATTTAACCTGTCAGTCAGTCAGTCAGTTTGGAAGTCAGTCATAAAAAGTCACTTCCAAGAATCCGTTCATTCAGTTTTATCCAGTCAGTAATCAAACTATTTTCAGTTTTCCTTTTACCAGTTAATGAAAGTCCAGTCAGTTCACTTAGTTTCTTCAGTCGGTGGTTAGGTTAGGTTAGGTGAGGTTAGGTTGTCTATGATATTTTTGAACAGTCCCTTTAAGTCACTCTACCCAGTCAGTCCATCTAAAGAAGCCAGTTAGTCTTTTTAAGAACTCCGTTGACAGTCAGTTTTATCCAATGTGTCCGACTGTAGATTCAGCTGACTTCACGCAGTATTGGCAGTCAGTCCAGTTAAAGTTAAACAGTCTTGTTAATTCCACCAGTCAATTTGCACCAATAGTCTATCTTAACCAATCAATCCAGTGAAAGTAACCTCGCTCAGTCAGTCTAATAATTTCACCCAGTTAGTCTACCTCAGTCTAGCCAGTCAGTCCATGCAGCCATCCTCTCCCACTAGACTGACAGCTCCATCGGTCTTGAGCAAGTAACAGGCTTAGGTAACACCCCAACTCACGCTACGTAGTTCCTGGCGTTGTCATGGTGATGGAGCTTGATAAACAAACTCGATGTATATTAAAAGATAAATTCCGATACAAATAATGACTAATTTATATTCATCTAATACGTCATGACCTGTTAGATGTCAATTTCAAGATCAATTTATATAATTTATATACGTAAGGAAATAGATTAGTAAATAATTGATGTTTTTTTTAAGGTTCAAATTAACTAAATGTATTAATTATTATTTTTTTTTAAAGTGAATCACTTGAAAGTAACAAAAAAGAATATATTTAACACAGACAAGACCAAGAGATAAGGGTCTACATATTTATTTATGTATATATGTACAAAATCAAAGCCAAACTACACTGGGATCTATTTAAGACAATGACGACCGTATTAATGACTCCAAGGGTCCACAAAAAAAAAAGTTTGGTTCCAGGTTTATGTCTGACCTCATTCCACCTGTCAGAAGTGAGTCAGATTTTTATCCCTTGATTTTTGGCAGACTTGAATACTGCAGAACGTAATAGAAAGTCATAATGATGAAACATATTCAATAACATCGCATTTTTACACACACACACACACACACACACACACACACACACACACACACACACACACACACACACACAGCCACTGATGGAAAAATTATGACAGGGCGATAAAAACACGGGGGTAATGAGCGTTGTTCTACTGGCTAGAATATTCATTGGTGTTACGTCATTCAGGATGGATGGAAGAGGAGGAGGAGGAGGTGAAGAGGGAGAAAGAGGTGGGGAAGAGGGAGAAGGAAGTGGAAAAGTAGGATGAGGGAGAGAGAGAGAGAAAGGAAGAGGGGAGGGAAGAGGGAGGAAGAAGGAAGATGTGGAGAGGAAGGAGAAGATGAAGAGGAGGGAGAAAGAAATGGAGACGGGGTGGAGAGAGGTAAAGAGGAAGGAAAGAGAGAAAGAGAGGAAAAAAGTGGAATGAAAGGAGTTGGTGGAGTAAGAAAGAGGGGAAAGATAGGTTAAAAAAAAGACCAAAATATACGAGAGAAAGAGATGACGAAAAGATAAAAAAAAAACAATTGAAAGAAAGCAGGAGTAGAAAAAAAAGAAAAAAACAAACTTGGTCTTTAACCTCTACAGTAGAAGAATGACACAAAGTTTACAAAGTATACACACTAAAAATATTTCCTGATTTTTGCCATAAAGTCGAAGTTCTAGTTTGCTTATTTTGCCTATTTTCCGAACAAGTATTAATTTATCATAGTTTCCCCTAAAGATACCATTCATCACGTTTTTTTTTTATAATTCTATTTCTGTTTCTCTTGGGGGGAGTAGAGAAGGAGGAGGAAAAAGAGGAATGTCTATTTAAATTCAGAAATATATTTTTTTTCCTTTTTAATTAGTCTGTGTTTATCAGTTTTCTCTATAATTCTAGTCTTTACTTTTTATTTTCGTTATTTCACTTTCTACTAAACCTTTTACCAAGTGTTGGAAAAGAATAAGTTTTTCATATCAATAGTACTATGTTAATCGTTGACCTCAATGGATTTCTTTATCAATTGGCCTCGTGTTTACGGTCGCTTATTCTCCCGTGTGACTCGATCTCTCTCTCTCGTTTGATGTTTATATATTTTTCATTACCTTATTCTATCTTCAGAAGGTCCAGATAATCCCGTGGTATGATAAAGGTAAGGTAAAGGAGAGAGAAGGTAATGGAAAGTGTGAGGAGAGAAAGGAAGATAGAATAATGAGGGAAGGAAGATAGGGATAAGATAGGGGTGAAAGAAGAAGGAAATATTTGGATAAAAGTGAAGAAAATGGGACAGTAGATGATTCTGTTCTAATTAATATATACACTATTAAAATTCTCTCTCTCTCTCTCTCCGCAAAATCATGAATTAAAACACTTCATTATTTACATTACCCCCAGACACTTCTTCCCTATTTCCTTTCTAGCCGCCATATCATAACCTCATGACATCCTGTGAGTGACATCAATTGACTTCACAACACGATGTCTCAAAAAAGTAACACATACATTATTACTGACAACTTGAGCACAGGCGTTACGAACCTACAATATATTTTCAATCTGTCATGTCAATCAATAGTTTTTTTTAATAAGAAACTTTGATTTATGACTTCACAAGCTTTAGGACGTCATTGACCTAAGAAATCATAAGGTTAAAATCGACTTCCATGTAGACGTCTTCAGCTTAAGATGTCTTTAACTTGAGACATTACAACCTCACAACTTATCTAACTTACGACACCAGAAGCTTGAGACATCTTCAACCTCTTATGTTTTGAGGTTAAAAATATCTTAACTTAAGATGTCTTCATCCTAAGATGTCTTCATCCTAAGATGTCTTGAGCTTAAGATGTCGCCAGCTAATGACGTCTTTAGCTTGTGTGTAAGAGGCGCCTCAGTAAAGCATGATGTTGCCGCCCTTGGGATCAGGCGCCTGGAGTTGCTCTTTGACCTTGGGGTCGTAAGTTCCCATATAGATGATGCCGATGTTGACTACGTGAACAAAGATGGCGACCACTACCAGCCTGGGGGGAAGCGAGAGACGTTAATGATGGGTAGATGGGGGCACGGGGTAGATGGGGGCACGGGAGGGTAGATGGGGCACGGGGTAGATAGGGGAGGGCAGGGGGAGGGTAGATGGGCACGGAGGGTAGATGGGGGGCTGGGGTAGATGGGGGCACGGGTAGATGGGGCACGGAGGGCGGGGTAGGGGCAGGGGTAGATGGGGCACGGGAGGGTAGATGGGGGCACGGAGGGTAGATGGGGGATGGGAGGGCAGATGGGGGCAGGGGAGGGTAGATGGCGGCACGGGGTAGATGGGGGCACGGGCGGGGCACAGATGGGGGCACGGGGATGGGGCAACGTAGATGGGGCCACGGGGCAGATGGGGCACGGGAGGGTAGATGGGGGCACGGGGTAGATGGGGGCACGGGAGGGTAGATGGGGGCACGGGGTAGATGGGGGCACGGGAGGGTAGATGGGAATTGATGAGATGATGGTAATTGATGGGTAGGTCGGTTAATAATTGGTAGATATGAGTTTATGGGTAAATGGGAAAGGATGGGTAGATGAGGATTGATGGAAACTGATGAATAAAATCCACATTGACTTTAATCATTTCTAAAAAAAAATTGATGCTCTATGAAGAGATCAACTTAGTGAATGATGAATAATGACCTTGATAAATGAATTATATAAATACATTAAAAAAAATACAACCTTTCCTTCATTTACCTTCAGATTCATTTAATAAAATTTTGAGGGTTAATTTCCGTAGTAAATAGCAATTACAGTAAAACTCTCTTAACTCACAAAGGACAATTTTCCTGAACAAAAAGCGAAGTATTAACAAAGGCATTTTTTTCTTAATGGGAAATTCTAATGCCAAAAAAAAACTTTAGTATAAGAACAGCTGAGAGATTATGAGGAAGTATATAACGAAGGAGGAGAGGAGGGAGGGAGGGAGAGGAGAGGAGAGGAGAGGAGAGGAGAAAAGAGGGAGAGGAGAGGAGGAAGGGGAGTGAGGGAGGGAGAATAGATGAGGAGGAGAAAAGGAGAGGAACGAAGAGTAAAGAAGAAGGGTTGTCTGGGGAAGAGGAGAGTGAAGAGGGGTGAGACAGAAGGAGGAAGAGAAGGTAGCAGGTGGAGGAGGAGGAAGAGAAGGAAGAAAAGGTAGCAGGTGGAGGAGGAGAAGGTAGCAGGTGGAGGAGGAGGAAGAGAAGGTAGCAGGTGGAGGAGGAGGAAGAGAAGGTAGCAGGTGGAGGAGGAGAAGAAGAGAAGGTAGCAGCAGGAGGAGGAGGAGGAGGAGGAGGAGGAAGAAGCATCTCACCAGTAAGAATAGCCAAAGCTCTCCTGGCCTGCCGTGGTCCAGCCGTCGGCAGCGTCGTACAGGAGCACGTTATTGGTGAGGTGCTTGTGAAACTGTACCGCCCACAGGATGACACAAATCAGGTTGAACAGCGCTGTGGAGGAGAGACAAGATCATTACCCCATTCCTGGCACTGGGACGACACTGACGGTAATGGAATAGCTGTTCCCACTAACACACTGGGAGGGGGAGAGGGGGGGGGAGGAGGTTGTAAGTGCGTCCTATCCCCTATCTGTCTCATATCCGATCTCAAAATGTAAACAAAGAAGATGGCTCGTAACTCACTCTTAAAATATCCACAAAGCACCAGTCAGGAATAATTGTAATGTATACTGAAGTCTAAAGTGTATAAAATTTACTTTTTTTGTGTTACCAGGATCAGACAACGGTAACATTTAATCTGTTTTTTCTCGTTGCAGGACAGATAAGTCGCCTTGGAAACGTGTATTCTGTGTTGCTTGTGCATCTGTGAGGAAGTCGACCAAGAATAACTCCTTCACTCACAACAAGTCTCCCCTCTACACAGTCCTCTCTCAAGGTAAGATGATCTATATGTTCACATCTACGGGAGGTATTATGGCGGTGTATGTATGTCAAAGAGCAGTGGTTTGGCTTCTCACCTCAGATAAAAAACAATTAGGAGACTTGTTTTTATCTTGGCTCTCATCAAGGTTAAAAGTTTGGCATCTAGACACGCAGGAATATGAGAATTATAAACCATCGATTCGAGGTTAGATTTCCAGATGATATTAAAGTTTTGTTATGAATCCGACATCAAAAGACAAAAAGTTGTATTATTTTTTGTATCAATGTGGTGTTTGATATTATCTAAAAGTCGACATTCATGTTATTGTGAACTTTTCAATAGAGTCGTTTACTGTTCTCACTGGCGGGTGTATTGTGGTTAGAGAGAGGAATATATTCAGTAAAATCATCTTATAATCTCGGATTCATTCAGCGTGTAGGTAGAAAAGGCAGGTGTATCAACAGTGTATGTAGACAGTACGACAGGTAAACGAATAATGTACAGTCAGCCAAAGATGTACGGACCCACCCTGGGTCTAGTGCTCTCAATTTTACGTGGCAATACTTGGTAACGTAAGGCTGTATGTAAAGGTGACTGTGATTGGTGGATCTGTTTTCGGCTGTATCACTGTCAGGATAAATATTAAACAAACCAAAGGTAGAATTTTTATAATAATAAACTATTCATTGTTGTTTAAGATCATGAGAAGTTTCCAAATGTTGAATCATCATATTATTTCAATGACATAAGTATTAAATCCTTTTAACACGTCAACTTCAGAGGGGTTATGGGTAATTCAATATGTAATACAATATAACTATTTGGCAAGAAATAACTTTGAACCTGCATATGATATAAAAGATACGTTAATAATTTAGAAGTATGTTATTAATTGAAGTTAGAGGAATGACAGAGATGGAGAGGTCCAGCGACGGACGTTGAGAGATGACATCAGAGTTCACTGTCCTAACAAAACAAAAACTTCAAGAGTGATGTGTAAAAACAGCCATTTGAAGTTAGTGGAGAAAAAATATTTATTAATGCTCGTGCTGAAAACTTCCAAGTGAGGCGCTTTCCCTTGCCAACCTGTTGACCGCTCATGCACGAACGCTATATATATAAAAACAATAACAACCAGCGTTCGTTCTTGAATAAATTGGTTAGGAAGACTAGAGATATCACGTTAAATAATGTTAAAAAATGGTTATAGATCATAAACATTGGGGTAGTTTCTTCAGTGATATTGTTTAGAGAGAATTGAAAGGAAACATTTCGAATCATTGTTGAGAAAATGAATTGTTCTGTACGGTGTGTCTATTTGTCGTATCTTTCCTCTCACTCTCTATGTATGTTTTTCATTATTTCTACGTCTCTATTTTCTTCATTTTTCTATTGTTTATGTAGTCCTAGATCTTCCCAATACGAAAGTGGGAGAGGAATAATTATACCAGATTATTATTATTATTATTATTATTATTATTATTATTATTATTATTATTATTATTATTATTATTATTATTATTATTATTATTATTATTATTATTATTGTTGTTGTTGTTGTTGTTTTTCACTACTTATTATTACCACTACTACTTCTGATATTTATTTTCATTTTTATATTCATTTTACTTTTTTTTTCCATTTCAACTTTACTTTTGTTTACTGTTATTGTGTTTTTTTTTACTTTTTTTTCCTTGAGTTTCTGTTGACTATTAGAGATTCACAGTGACTCGGCCCCTCTCTCCTGCCTTCTCGACAGGGATGATGATATATTCAGTGGGACACACAGGTAGGGTCCAGAAGCTAAAAAATTCATATACTAAATATTATAAGCACTGTGAATATGAAAACGCCTTCTGTTTTGAGTAAGTCTCGGAGTAAAATGGACGCTACTGTATATTAGCTAAAATTTTTGCTTTTATGGTATATATAAATAATCATAATGAGAAAAAAAATGCATTATTCCATTAGAATAAGGAAAAATATTCACACGTTTTGAATCTCTTTGTTCATGTATTCGTTTATGAGAGAAATTCACACCTACCCGGATCCTGTATTTATGTTGCTTACTGGTGGAAATTCATCACACCGTCTCGGATCTTTTGTTGTTATTTGCTCACACCATCCCAGACCCCAAATCCAAATATACTCACACCGAACCGAGTCTTATATCTATATATTCTCACACCTACCAGGACTGTACCTCCGTAATATAAAAAAAACTCACTGATCCAAACCTTAAATCCATATATTCTCACACTGATCTAGATCCTGAAATCTAATATTATTCCCTATTAATAAGGAGAAATTCTCACAGGGATCAGAACACAGCGCTCATATATTCATAAAACCTAACCTAACCTAACGCGCCGGGGAGTTGTACCAGCCTTAATTACAAGTTTAATCCGTCATGCATAATAAATAGTGGGCGCTGAGGCTGTCCTGGACCTGTTGTGTAGTTACGTTGTGTTGGGCCGAGTTTAGTGAAGACCCAAGGCCAAGGCGGAGAGTGCTAACTTGAGCTGTATGTGTGGGGATGGAGTTGTGGGGGGTGTGGGAGGTGTGTGGGGGGAGGGGGGGCTGGTGTAAAAATTCCACACATCACTTCAACACGTTATACAACATTTGTTTTCCTGTCAACAAAAAATAATCCAATTATTTTTCTGACGATAAATAAAAACCTCATTTACTTTCAATATTTACATTTTACTCAACAAATATCTCAAACTAATGTTCCCTAAGAGACACAGACGTAGAGGAGTATCAAGTACACAACAGATATAAATTTAGGTTGACAGGGATAAAACATTACATTTCCTTCATTTGTATCATTTAAAGTTAAGAAAATTTAAGTAAATAAATTCAATAAATGACAGAGCATTGTGGTATTTTTATAAGGAATGGAGTGATTTATTTCTTTATTACTTAGAAAAATTAATATGGATAGATCATGTTAGGGTAAAGTAAAATAACTTTTAGTTTGTATTATAAATAGAATGATGGAATGACTTCTAGAGGAATATAAAGTAGCTCTCCTTCTTAAAGCTCTTCTGTAAATAGTCCTGTGGAGGAATGTAATAACTTAAAGACGGTGGAAGGTAGAGGAGAACTTACCTGCCAAGGCATTCCATAAATAGAGACCTGGGACGCCCGTGATGGCTTCCACAGGTGTAGTAGCTGTGTTGATGACGGCGAAGAGCGCACCTACCACAGCAAACACCATCCCAAGACCGAGACACGCGACAGTCCCAACCCATAGCCCGTAGTCCATGAACTCAGCATGATCCACTGTAAACACACAACACACGTCACTAACACACTCTAGGAACTCCTGCTCGATAACATCTACTGCAGAACATAACCATGAACACACTTCTACTTGAGATTATATTTCTTCAGACACTTCTCTCTGTATGTACTCGCTCCAAAAAGTATATTTACGATTTTATGCCAGATAAAGTAACACAAATGATGAAGGATTTTGATGATACTACCGAGACAACAGGAGTCACAGTGTTTATTTTGAAAATCATCGACTCCTCTGTAAAGATATTTTTTTCGGAGTGATACAACGCGTCATACATTCTATCAGGAAAGGCAATATTCTAGAAGGGATATACTGTAAGTTTAGATGCTCCCCCCCCCTCCCCCCCACCTCAAAAAAAATGTGCTCTAAAGATACGACAAAAACACACACACACACAATGGCTGGATACTCTAGAAAAACACACATATTGCTTGATGACATGACACACCACACACTATGACTAAAAGACTTAAGAAGACACCATTCTTTGGAGGCTTAAAAAAAAACATATAAATCAATCACAGTTATGAGAAAATTTTCCTGTAACTCAAAGGGAAAAATATCATTAATTAACAGAGTACCAATACAAGCCGTGGCGGGATGGGATGGGTGGGTGAGGGGTGTAGTGAAGTCGTTTATAATGTATCTAAGCAGTTGACAATCAGCGTCATGACAGTTTTAAACCCCGAACTTAAACAAGTATTAAAACAGTACCATGCCAATTACGAGCCTTTGATATGACTGTTTAATATTTCTCCATCTCGTTTATTACTTTGAGACGTTTTTATGTCCTTACATCAGTGAAACATAATTAGGGGATATTAAATAGAATGAGACAGTAGAGTACAAGATATACTGTACACAGTGGCCTGGTGTTGAGGACACACACAAAGCACAGTTCACGAGCCTTAACACAACAAGTAGAAACATGATAATCAACAAAAACCTCCAGACAAAGACACGACCATAAGATATAAATGGAAGACGTGAAGAAGAAAAAGTCCCACACAGTTACTGGCCAACCATCATGTGCTCAACAGTTATATTCAACACACAGTCTGCTTCTGCTGCTGCTGCTTCTTCTTCTGCTGCTGCTGCTGCTGCTTCTTCTTCTGCTGCTGCTGCTTCTGCTGCTGCTGCTGCTTCTTCTTCTTCTTCTTCTTCTTCTACTTCTTCATTGTCAGTTTTACTTAGACTGCTGTCAGCAACTTCGACTTCTCCGGTGTCTGTTTCAAGTGCCACTTTGAGGGGGGCGCCCCACAATCCTGCCCCAAGACGAGGGTCGGCGGACTCCGGGGCGAACAGCGGGAAAAACAAACTCCTTGCTATGTCGCCTCCGCCGGGCGAATCCTGGATGAGTCTTGGAAGGAAGAAGCGGTGTGACGAAGATGAAGACTTCGTATCATCTTCCCTTTGGCAGTTATCCGTGATGGAGAAGTTCTTAGGCGTGCCGTTCATCACTTGCCTCAGCTGTTCCTGACGAAGGGCCTTCGTTTTACCGCAGCTGTACATGCACTTGCCATCCAGACACACCACTGCAACACCAAGTTCGGGTTACTCATCAGTATACAAGGTCACGGTAGTCGTGTGTGTGTGTGTGTGTGTGTGGGGACGCACGCGTGAGTTTGCGACAGTAATATGTAATATCTATAAAAAAAAAATTCAATACTAAAAAGGTTCATATAAACTTCTCCAAGATCACCGTGACTTCAGTATCTCGACCAACCTCCTTTGATTATTACCTCAGTGTGTTAACTAACTTCATCCCGGCCTTGACATAGTCTTCTCACTTATTCCCTTATCATAAGTGATCTATTCAAACCTTTGAGTCCAAAATATAAAGCGGACTCATAATCACATTGAAAACTCAACATATCTCATTAAGAAGACCAAAATTATCTCTTATCTCGTCCTCAATATAAGTCCTGCATCGCTATAACATTTCAGACAATATCTGCTGCTCCACTCTAAAGGCAACAAGTCATATACATCACTCACCCTTGACCAGGCGCGTCGTCTTCGTGATGATGTGGTTCGTGTAGATCTTGCCGCTAAAAAGTCCAAAATTGACGTTTCCGTGGCTGGAAAGGCTTAAAGTTGCGTTGGCGCTACAGCCTGACTCGAACCAGTTCTGTGTGGCCATGGAGGATGCCACGAGCGATGCCCCTAGACAGCACACGAAAAAGGTGCCGAAAATGATGCTCCTTTTGCGTACCCTCTGTTTGTTTCGCAGCATCGCGGAAGTTGCAAGTGGAAGAGTCTTGTATCTTCACTTTCCAACAGAGATGAAGATGGCGGCTGTTACGTAGACGAAGAGGAGATGTGGTGAGAGCTGGATAGTGTCTTGTTAAAGTTGAGACCTGATAATGGTAGCAAAGAGGACTGGTGAATGTGGTGTTGTGATTGAAACTCAACACCCAAGTGACTGTTCGTAGATAATGTTTTTGTTTTAACTTATTTGACTCCCACGATATGGACTGTCTTGATGTACCCAAGTATATTATTGATCTCAAACATGCACTAGATGACTCGGGGTTTTTTCTTTCTTTTTTTTTTTTTGCTATTTTCGTCGTAATGTCGGGAAGAGTTTGCGCTTGATTGAGGTGTCTCGGTGATTGTCTGTTAGCGATCGTCTCTGTACACTTGAGATAGAGTAATTTGTTCTGTCAGGATAACCTTCTCCTTAGCATATCGATTCAGCAATGAGTTTATACACGATCAAGGAGGCCAGGAACATCTTTGTCTTAAGAGGAAGTTTTTAGTTTGTACCTGTGAAGATTGATGATTATACGTATTGTTCAGAACACTTGACACATACACAACAATATTACCAGTCTCTCTCTCTCTCTCTCTCTCATCAATAACCCCGTGTGCGAGCCGCTGTTGTTTACCTCTAATCAAGGAAAACGATGATGACGTCACCCCTGAGGCGGAAGTCACACCCTCACCTGGTCAGAGGAGAAACTTACTGTCAGACATAAAACTCCCATACTTCATTCTCTCATTTTTTCCCTAATAAAATTAAACGTGTCTTATCAAGAACTCATTTTTTTTAAGTGTTCAAGGTGATACGATACTGAATATGAGCCAGTGTGTATGTGGTCGAGTGTGTGTTTGTGTGTGTGTGTGTGGTCGAGTGTGTGTTTGTGTGTGTGTGTGTGTGGTCGAGTGTGTGTGTACGTACGAAAAAGATTAAAACTATGTATGTCTGTCAGTAAATACACATCTCTCGTGCCTTCTCCCACAGCCAGCTCACCATTTCTGAACGTAAATTCCCCAAAGTTCGTATCTTAAATCTCTTTCACTAATCTGACTTATGAGAACGTATCTATCAAGCTCACCTCTCGCTGTTGTAATTTAGGGAACAAAAAAAAAAGTCGAAATTAGTGAAGGAATGTTGTATCCTGTAAGTAAGCTTTGTACATTGATGTTTATGGAAGCTTAGTTGACTTTCGAACGTATTGATACGGTACAGTGAAAGTAGAAGGCAGCTTCGTTTATTTCATACATTTTTTTCTCCACTTAATTTGGTGTTGATATCGAATAGACGAGTATCATTAGATAGTCTTTAGTAAGGGTCGTGATAGGAGGTGATAAGGGGCTTTTTGTAACCCACTTAATGACAGTTTTAGGGTCGTATCAGAGGGTTCCAAAGTATATAGGGAATCATTAGGGTCAGGTAAGGGACTCCATTACTACCTTTAGGGGAAGTTAAGTGTGGATAACTTTTATTCGCTTTAACTCATACTAAAACTTAACCTGAGTCTCCGTTAATTTTGTCTCGTGATCTCAGCTTTCTTCCTCCCAAGTCCCATCATAAATTGAGCTAAAAAGTTCGACGGCTATAAAAATAAACTTCCTTATAGTAGAGACGAAATCAAACTCATCCTAAGGTATTGTGAAGCTAAATAGTGTAATATTAACGGGTACATAATTAGGTGTGTAAATGTACTGGACACATTAATGGACGATACTATAGCAACAATTAACCTCATTATTCTTATTTACAGGTTAATTAGATCTTTTAAATACCTTATGTTAATAGTTATATTATAACGCTAAAGTGTATTGACATTGTACTTTATAATTCAATTGTATTCAAGCATTTAGGTTAAGGTTAGGTTAGGTTAGGTTAGGTTAGGTTAGGTTAGGTTAGGTTGTGTCAAATTACTTTTAATTGGTATAACTTATCTTGACGGGAGCTTTAATATTCAAATCCGATAATGACGAAGTATTTCCCATGATTAGCCCCTGATAAACTCAAATTATATAAATCATTCATAATTATATACCTTGTAAATATTAAGATTACCTCCAATTATAAACCAGGTAATTAGTGAAATTCTCCAGGTATGAATCGGTAATTATTTCCAGGTATTCATATCGGGGACTGAACGATAACATCTAGATACGAACACGTCAATATTTCTACATATTTACACAAGTAATGACTCTACCTGGCTTCAGTTTACACTACACAATCCGTCTAATATCTTATCTTTCCGGGAATCTCACTTAATTCGCATTCCAGGAAGGACGTCATCACTGGTAGAGAGGAAGAATGTATTTGATAACTTAAGGGAGTTGTTGTCTAGTATAGAAATTAAGGTCATAGAAAACGGGTTTTTAAGGGGTGACTTCAGGAGTGTTTAATGATGGTACTGTGTGTGGGTGAGTCATCTAAAGGGTTCAAAGTTGGCATAACACTGATTTTGGGGCCCAAGGATACACTCTATTGACTTTTCCTGTACACACACACACACACACACCACAAACAGTAAGGTTGGAGCTTCGAACCCCTGGACTGAACCCTCAACTTTGTTATTCTGTTGAGCACAAAATGACTCCACAACCTCGCACCCATAAAGTAAATATAAACCTATAATGTTCATTGACATTTTAGGATTAACGTTCAATTAGATTTTCGTTCTTCATTATGTGTTGTTCTTTATTTCTTTGTCAGCGTCTAGGTAGTGGTTCA